GTTTAAGTTTGAGCATAATAAAAAAATAATGCACAATTAAATGTTCTGCTAAAAAAATTATAATTTTATAAACACTTTTATTGTGGAATCTTAAATTGTTGTAATAATTCTTAAACTTTCTGCTTTCAAGAAAATATAAAATACTTTTTTATATTTTTATTTGTCAAATTTTTTTTCTAATAAGTAGAGTTGTTAATAAATATATTTTTTTTCCAACAACTTTGCTTCCAACAAGGATACAAGCAACGACTATTAGAGTTAAAAGTTACTGGAAGAGAAAATATAAATTTTGTAGAGCAAGATAACGATTGACAGACAATTTAAAATATTGCAAATTATATGAATCAGCAAAGCAAGATAAAGGAAGAAAATTCCAAAGAACTGATGTTCAAGGAAAAAAAATAGACAAACAAGAGTTTTTGGAGCACACCTTGTCTAAAAGAAAAAGGGCATCATTAGAAGATCGGTCCCCAGATATGGCAACAGTATTCCATACAAGGATGGATTTGAGATTTAGAGAGATATAGTAAGAAAGTGTCAAGCACGATAAAAAAGAGATGCAACTTTAGCAGATGCTAATTTTGCAATCAATTTGATAAATGAATAGCAAGCCTAAACCCAAAAAAAAACGCTAATCTAAAGAACTTTTTCATGGCGAAATAAACAATGCTTGTTATTGTATATATTCTTTCATATGCTTGTAACTTGTATAAAATAAGCATTTTTTTAATGAAGAAACATAGCTTGCGTAAAAACTGAAAGCTCTTGTAAACAGCTGTTTAGAGGAGCAGCTCACATAACTGACAATATTTGTTTTAGGATACCAATTCTATGCTCTTGCATAGAATTGCACTAATTTATTATTATTATATATATATATATATATATATATATATATATATATATATATATATATATATATATATATATATATATATATATATATATATATATATATATATACAGAGGCCTTATTAAAACACGCTTTAGTAAGTGTATACACATATATATATATATATATATAATATATATATATATATATATATATATATATATATATATATATATATATATATATATATATATATATATATATATATATATATATATATATATATATTATATATTAGTTCAAAAAACTAATTCATCTTTTTTATAAGTCGTATTCAAATGTGAAAATGGAAATCTGTTCAACACATAAAAATTAACCAAGTGTATAATATAGATATTAATCAAGGTCATTAAACTTGAAAAAACTTATAGGTATAATAAATTTAAACTTATATATTTTTTTTAATTTTTTTCACTCTGATTCACTCCCAACCAGGCTCTTAATTTGGGATTTACTCTTAATTTGGGATTTACTAGAAAGAAAAAAAAGAGTTATAGAGCAAGAAAATAGTTGACAGAAGACTTAAAAAGTTTAAGGTTCTATGAATTAGGAAAACATAAAGATGGGTGAGTGTTCCAAAAGGTAAAAGTGCCGGGAAAAATGACTAGCGGGTTTAACTACATTTTGGACCCGCAGATAGAACAGGTCCAACTACATTTACAATTCAATTTTGAACCTTGTCTAAAAGAGAAAGCACATCATTAGAAAAACCAACCCAAATATGACAGCAATATTTCATACACGGACAAATATGAGATTTGTAGTGGTAGAAAACATAATCAGGAGAAAGAAAATGGCAAGCACAGAAAAGAGAAGCAACCTTAGCAGATGCTAATTTAGTAACTGATTGTATATATGGTTTCCATGAAAGGTCAGTAGTAAATGATAATCCAAGAAGACATAAAGAAGTAAGAGGGTTGCCATTGCTATATTATATTTATATATACATATATATATATATATATATATATATATATATATATATATATATATATATATATATATATATATATATATATATATATATATATATATATATATATATATATATATATATGTATACATATATATACATATATATATACATATATATATACATATATATATATATATATATATATATATATATATATATATATATATATATATATATATATATATACATATATATATATATTATATATATATATATATACATTTACATCTATTGCCATGTACCAAAACTATATATATTTAAGTTATAAAAAATATATATTCATATAAAAAGTATAAATAAATAATACTTGATATTATATGATTATTCATATATAAACTTCATATATAAATTATATAAACTTCAACCATAAGCTTATTATTAATTATGATATAATACTTTAAATAAAGTAAAACTATAAAAACATAAGAAAATGCAACTTTTAATATGTGACTTTATGTTTATGTCAATCCAACAATCATAGAGAAAATGCTGAACAATGCATGTTCAGCTAAAGTAATATGTTATAATAATATAGTATAGCATTTTAGAATACAAAACAGAATTTTAGAAAGAAATATATCTATATTTCTATATATTTAGAATAAAATATAAAAAGTAATAAAATTTTAGTT